GTGGCTTTACGTTCCTGTTTCACAGGAACATTAACTTACTCAACTCCATAACATAGCAATTGTTTCAATAAATGCTTGATGAATGAATGAACTACTTATTTAATGATTAGAAGGAAAGGGGAAAGGAACTGCACTATAAATCTGTAAAATCAAGTAAACTGACCCTCACAGGAACATAATTTATCTTTACTAATCTTTATAATTTATAACAAGAGATGTTTAGGAAACTTACCGTGGCATTTATCCACCATGATATATATCGTGATGAGACATACCATGACTATACCATGCTGATATATATATACACGCATGGCTAAGATAAAATAGAAAATGGCATGGCATACACACTGACCAGAAGTTTAGCTAACTCTGGATAGTCCTCAAATAGTTCTCTGTGGCAAAGATCATGACGAGGGATTACAAAAGGAACTCCCAAACCAAGTGGCTATTTCAGGCTTTGCGTGGGTTCCTTTTAATGAATCTTCCATAAATGGAAACCCACTAGGTCATTCATGGTTCTGCATACCAAAGAGCAATCCCAGGAGTATGGGACTGGCTGCATTGCATAATGGAAAAATAAACTTGCTGGAGGAAGTGTATTTTTCTTTTGTCTTTTAGGAAGAAGCATAAACCTGTAGAGCACTTTAGTCAAATCACTTGTCCTTCAAAAGGGAATAGAAGGCATGGATGAATCAGAAAAGTGGGAATTGTTAAAAATTTCTGCATACCATGTAGTTGCACAAATAAAGTGGAGCAAGAAGAATAAAGGAGTGTTTCCAAGATCATTGGCTAATTAAATTGTTAAGCAAAAGAATGGTACCATGGTAAAGCTAGAAAGATACAAGGCACAACAAAAAAACTAATTCCAGCCCACCAAGCATCTCCACACACTATCATCATCTGCTAACATTTGACAGATGAGAAAAGATGAATCGACTTGAAATAGAAAAATTTTTAATGCTGCACAACATTAAAAATGGAAGAAGGGAGAAGTTATAAAACGATTAGAGATCAACTTTAACTGTGCTTTCAAGAAAAGAGGTGTGGAAACATCAAGAAGAAATCCTGGACTGGTGGGAAGCATAGATCACAGGTGTTTTAGATTTCCTTCAAGAACAAGTGGGTAATAGATGGACAGGAATGGGGGAAGAACACAAGAAAACACAAAGAAAATCCCATTTGATTGTTCTTTAAAAGTCAGGCATAAAATCAAAAAGAGTAGCCTCTTCTATAAAGAACACTTTATGCTTCTGCAGACACACCTATATATGTGTTCTAGCCTCTGCAGATGTTCAGCAGTGGTTATTTGGAGACAGAATTACATATAAAATTATTTTCAAACTCTGAATAGGTTTTACATGTTATCAGCTGGCCAAGGAGCTGATAATATTTGTTACAATGATCTGTCCTATGGCATCTTTTTAAATTGCTTTTCCAGGAAATGGAAAAGAAAGTGAGAGAAAGGACTGAATGAAGAGCTCTATTAATCTCTGTCCAGTAACTGATTCCAGAAATTCTGTGTGGGAATTGGGGCTAACCAAAGATTGAGACCTAAACATACAATTTTGACCACACAGAGTTCTGTGGAAATTTTTCAGATAAAACACAGAGGCCCAGTTGAACTTGTTGAAAACAAGTCTATAGTTTTTCAAGGTTTTCTGATTTTTTTTAAAAGTATATGTGACAATTCCCTATGGTAGCCTTAAAGAAATTATCTTCACTAATTATTCTCTAATTCTTAATTTGACCTTATCTACTTATGTTTCTTTTTAGATTCCTTTTACCCCAAAATTCCATGTGTCTTAAAGAAACGTCAACTAATTTCCAAAGCATGGAAACCAAAAATATCATGTGAATTACCCAGAAAAATATAAAATGTATTGGCATTCTTGGTCATATAGGCTGAGTATCCTTTATCTGAAAAGCTTGGGATGAGAAGTAGTTCATGTTTCCAGAATATTTGCATATGCTCTACCATATATCCAAAATCACAATTCCCCAATATCCAAAATTTTTTAGCTTTGATATGATAGTCAGGAAGTTTTGAATTGGGGAGCATTTCTGATTTTGGATTTCCAGGTTAGGAAAGCTTAACCTCTATTGATGTTTCTGTGACTCTTGTTTTCCCACCCCATCCTCATCACTTTTAGGTAGGAAAGTCAACACTGCAGAAGAAATGGGCACACCTGACCCATATTGAAACAGGAGCAGGGCAATGATGGGAAGTTGGCGGAGGCAAGTCCTAGGACTGCCACCAAGCAGGCTGTGACTCCCTTAACAGTAGTACTTAAGATAAAAGTGTCCCTCTAAATCTCTAAGCCAGGCCTTTTGAAAGCAGACAGAACCCTCAAAAGTGGCTTTCCAGGAAATCTAAAATGAACAGCAACAGAAAAAAGTATTTCTCATTGCTTTCATAATGGTTTGCAAATTGTGTCAGGAAAACCTCATTGCACAGCACTGAGGATTTTAGAAATATTTGAACTGCATCCACATAGGAGCCTTCAAAGATATCTCCTAACATGTTCAAATGACCAGCTAGCAAGTCAGTCATTTCCTTGGGTTTTGTCTTCTTCAAATTAATAAAAAGCCCCAGGGAAATTAAAGAATCTGTTTTCTCCAGAAATTCTCAATTCAATAGGTATCTGGAAAGATGGATGAAGCAGTCCTGACTTTGTTCTGCTTTTTGTTGGTTATAAGTCTCTGACATCAAAGCACTCTTTGAAAATTGCTCTCTGCTAAAAGATCCATGGCCCTGGCTGAAATGTTTTGTTCTTTTCTTCTGGTTCATTAGCTCATATTAGCTCCAATCTGCATAGATATTTCCATGGTCCAGTAAGGAGGGAATGAAGTTACTTAGATTAAAATACATGAATGGTTATGCAAAAGGCCATTCTTTACCTTTTCTCACCTCTAACTAAAAAGGCAGTGGTGTTTCTTTAGCTTGGCATGCTTTTTGCTGGTCAGGGGCTTTCAGTGACATTTCCTGAGTTCCTCAAAGAAGAGAGTTTGGAAAAAATTACTGAGCTTGGTTTGCTACCTCCCCACAGCCCGAAAATAGTCAGTGTTGATCTTTGTACCCAAAACAAACAATAAAACCGAACAAGCCACTCCCTACACACAAACAACACTGTTTCTTCTGAGCATGTTTCCTGTAATTAGTGTGAAAAATTCCTTCACTGCTGCCTAGAAGACCTTTTAGGATCTAGAACAAGATACAGACCTATGTGGAGCTATCCTCCAAGGACCAGTCTTGGGGTCAGAATCTTTCTCCTGCTACACAGACCTCTTCCCACCATTATGGATAACAACCTCTGAAACCTTGCTCAGCCCCCTGAAATTTTTTCCAACTAACCTGAAGAGTGGTAGACATTTAAATTTCTGAACATGATTCACCTATGAGTCTTCAAAGAAAGTGTCAATCTTAAAATTCTAGGGATCTTTCCAGTGGAGTACAAGTTTATGGAGACCATGGTCATACCTGACTCATCAGCATATCTGACTCATCAGCATATCCATGGTGCCTGACTTCTAGTAGGCATTCAACATATATCTGCTACATGAATGAAAAAATAGTTGTTGATGTAATCAAGTACTTTCACACATCACCAACTCTTTATTTGCCATTAAGTCCTATAATAAGGAAAGTAAAGATGCCATCTAGTATTAAATTTGTGATCATCTCATATAGAAAGCGGGGGGGGGGAGCAAAAAAACAGAGTGATGCTGGAGGGGAGAGCAATTATGATTAAAGCACATTATATACATATGTGAAAATAGAATAGTGAATACCTTTAAAATTCTAAAAATAAAAAGAGGGTGGAGGAAACGGGAAAGAGAGTAATAGAATCAGGCATGGTGGCTCAAGCCTGTAATCCTAGTTATTCTGGAGGCAGAAATTGGGAGGATCATGGTTTGAGGCTATACCAGGCAAAAAGTTTTCAAGACCCCATGGCAACCAATGACTTGGTGTAGCTATGCTGTGAAGCACAAATAAGAGGACTGCAGTCCAGGCTGACTTGGTCATGAAGAGAGACCCTCACTCAAAAATAACCAACACAAAAAGGACTACCAAAGTGGTTCAAGTGATAGAAGACCTGCCTAGCAAGCCTGAGGCTCTGAGTTCACTCCCCAGTACTGACAAAAAAAATAAATAAAGAGTAACAAAGGAAGTGAATGTGATCAAAGTTCATTACACATGTATGGAACACCACAATGAAACCCTTTTATGCAATTAATGTATGCTGATTCACTGATTCAAAAAAAAAATCACAATCTCCCGATCTTTCCCTCCATGTTACCCATCTCCTTTTCCTGGTGGTCACTTTTTAAAAATACTTATCTTCTAACAGATAATATATTTTCAATGTATGTATTCTTACTTCTCCAAGTGGACTGCAAATTTGAAGAGCAGAGTTGAGTTGCTTGACTATTTTATTCAGGACTGCATCCCAGGTGCTCAGAATAGAGCCTAGCATGCATATTAAGCACTCAATGACTATTTTTCAAATCAATAAATGAAAGAATAACTGTTAGTGTACTCACCACACACCAACAGTCTACATTTTAAACAAGAATTGTTGGTGATGTGGGTGTAGCAATTGTGCAAGCCACCATTTCATACACTCACTAGTCTAGAGTGAAACCTAGAAAGTTTCACTTTAACCAGGGAGTTAAAGTCTCTTCCAGGTCACATGTTTTGTTTTGTTTTGTTTTTATCAGTGTATGGAAGTGTTATAAATTCTATTTTAATGAGTTTTCACTCTAGTCATTTACAGACTTGACTTTATTTAATATTTGTCATTAACCCCATTCTTGGTCTTTTAGATTAATCCAGTAGAAGCAGAAATTATGGCTTCTGAATGTACTTTGTGGTACATTTCACTAGATATGTAGGGCTTTAGGCTTAAGTAGAAAGAGAGTTTTTCAGTCTAATGTCTACTTTGCACAGAAGAACAATCATAGCCATGTTAAATTCCCATTGTGTCCCTTTCTTCTTCTAGTTCCTGAACATCTCCATTAAATGGACCACCCAGGAAACTTTTCCTCCAAAGTACCTTCATTATGATCCTGAAACCTCTCGGCCACTCATGTGTGACAAATGTCCTCCTGGCACCTACCTAAAACAGCACTGCACAGCAAGGTGGGAGACCGTGTGCCTCCCTTGCCCTGACCTCTATTACACCAACAGCTGGCACACCAGTGACGAGTGTCTGTACTGCAGCCCAGTGTGCAAGGAGCTGCAGTATGTCAAGCAGGAGTGCAATCACACCCACAACCGCGTGTGTGAGTGTGAAGAAGGGCGCTACTTGGAGCTGGAATTCTGCTTGAAGCACAGGAGCTGTCCCCCGGGGTATGGAGTGGTCCAAGCTGGTAGGTATCTGCTTCCCATGTGCAGCAAAACCAATTAGGATAGTGCAAAACCAAGGAGTAATGAAAGATTCAGGGGGACACTTTTATTCTGATGACATTATAAGATAGCAAATTGCAAAGGTAATGGGACCTGTTAGGTATGTGCTGTGTGTCTGGAATGCTTCCAGCGGACCTTTCTCAGAGGAATACTTTGCCACTACAGGGTAATTTAGTGAGGAATCTCAAATGCAGAAAATTGCTCCCTAATGAGATGCATGATGGATTGCTCTTTTTTAAAGGAACATACTGTGAATTGCATCATTGATAGCTGATATATGCCTCCATGTTTCACTTCAGTGTGGACAGCTTCAGACTGCAGTGCTTTTTGACAAACATCAGAAATGTTAATTGATACCAAGAGAGTAATTATGCTGATATTAACGAGGCTCTGGAGTGCTAACAATGAACAGCTATAATTAATTATGTAAAAAATGAGAATGCATTTCATTATTAAAAATGAAGCTAGTTCCTCCTTTGGCATGGGAGTTGAGTGTCTAGGAGGAGAAAAGACTATAACAACTCCTCTAGCCAGCTTTTTCTTTATGTTAAGACAAAACAGATTGTCACGCCAAGAATCAATAAACAAATTCTTCTCTCTTTTTCCGTTCCCAGCAGCACAGGTTAGGGCCAGTGTGACTGAATCTTTTAAAGCTGCAACCCACATTCTTTTTCTACCACCTTCAAAAAGCTTTGGCGTAGAATATAGCTTGTTGTGGCTTAGGAACAGTAAGCATATTCACTGGGGGAAGGAATAATCAGTATAGATTCTGATTGCTAACTTGAAAGTAATGTTTCTCAACTTAAGCATGATTAACATTTTGGGCTGGATAATTACTTTTTGTGGGTAGCTGTCCTATGCACTGTGATGTGTTCAGTAGCATCCCTGGTCTCTAGCCGCTGAATGCTAAGAGTAGTCCTCCCCAACACTCCCTGTTGTGGCAACCAAAAATGTCTGTAGATATTGTTAAACATCCTCTGCTTAGCAAAATTTCCTCTGGCTGAGAACTACAGGCCTAGTAGATAATTATTTATAACAATTTTAACTTCCAAAAGTTATGATATATAAAATTACTATTATTAGATGACAAATACTTTAGGATTAAAGCTACAAAAAGGAAACGTACAAAAAAATGGAGGCCAGGCATGGTGGCAAACATCTGTAATCCCAGGACAGAGAAAGGAGGATCACTAGTACAAGTTGAGTCTGGGTTATACAACAACTTCCAGGACAATGTATGCTACGTGGTAAAAACCCTGTCTCAAAAAGACAAACAAAAAATTGAAATCTACTCAGTTTCCTAAGATGAGAATCTTAAAAAATTAATTGCATAAGGTGCAGATTGCAGGACAGACCTTTAACATGCTTTAGTAAAAGCATTTGAGGGGAATAATACTGCTTTTTATTGTGTGATATTTTGGGATTCATACGCTAAACTCACTTGGAGGAGGAAAAAGCCCACCCCACAAAACCAGATCCATATAATCAATGTAGTAAGTGATGTATGTATGGACTATGCAACTTGGAAACTAGAAAAAATTTTAAAATAGTGGAAAAGAGTAAATACATTTCCCTCAGAAACACGAGGACCTATTTGTAGAATGAAGCAAGCAGGCAATCCGATGACTTAGAACAAAGGCACACAGTTTATACTGTGCCACCACAGTGGTGTTCATTTACCTCTACTCCCTGAAAACCTACAAGGTGTTTCCTCATGGGAAATAAGAGAGTTCCAGTCCAAAGAGAAGGAAGGGATATGCAGTGTTAGATGACAAAAGTATTTAATAACCATCTCTCTTTTGTTGTTGCTATTTTGAAGTCAAATTTTCTCCTCTCCTTAATTTTTATTTGTTTGTTTTGCATTATATCTGAGAGTTAACCCTCTGCTTCTTATGAAATTACTTATGGCTAGCATGGTGAATTACAATTGCAAAGCCAAATTCATCTCATTATGGTAGTTTACATTTTTCCTGAGAGGTTATAATTTTTATATTTCCACTGACACTAATAAGGCAAAATCATTGCCTAGATAAGTAAATTTTTATTATATACAAAAAGTTCTATCAATTATAAAGTGGAAAGTACCATTCAGAAGATCATTAGACAAAACCACCAAACATACAACACTTCAGTTCTCTCATTCTTCAATTCCTTTTGTTAAAGAGCACTAAAGATTAACTTACCTAAAAGACTATCTCATACATATGACGTAGTTAAGATGCACAAGCTGCAGGATGTATCTGATGCATGAGACTCTTCTTTAGGTGGAACATGTGTTAGTTGGCAAAGGAACACTTGCGTCCACATGTTCAAGTTGTTTATTTTCAATAAACTAACATTGAATGAATGCCATGGAATTCCTGCCCAAATAGCTCTGCTTATGATATTATAGAATTTGATTTGGAGTTAAGGAGAGGGATAAAGTAGCAAAGTACATTTTTAAATATGTATTTGTGTACATTTATCTCATTGGGATCATACAGTTAAGTACATTGGTTTTTATATGATATCCTGAGCTTCGCCCCTTGATTATAAATTTTCCAAAGTGTAAATTCAATAGTTTTATGATATTACATAGTAGTGTTTCTTCCCCACAGTCTTCCATGTTCTCTTTGGGGTTTCATAGAGGTAAATGTTTTAAGGCCACTACAGAGCTTGGGTCAATTACAAATTTGGGGGAAGGCCATTGAGCTGACTGGCCCCATGGTCCCCTCATACCTTTTAAACAGCAGAACCACAGTTAATTAATTTTTATCCTGGGCTTCTTCTTAAAATTCTCTCTTTTTTTAGGGTCTTACTATATATCCAGGCAAGTACAAAGTACATTTTTTAAAAGAACAAAAAGAATCTAGGTGCCAGTGGCTCATGCTTGTAATCATAGCTATTTGGTTCCAGGCCAGCCCAGGCAAAGAGTTTATGAGACCCCCAACTCAATGGCTAAGGTGGGCATGATAGAGCACACCTGCTATCCCAGCAATGGCTGGAAGCATATTTAGGAGGATCATGGTCCAGGCTTGTCTGGGCAAAAATCAAGACCCTACATCCAAAATAACCAGAGCAAAAGGGCTGGAGGCGTGGCTAAAGCACTAGAGTGCCTGCCTAGCAAGTGAGAAGCCCAGAGCTCAAACCCCAGTGCCACCACAAAACAACTAACAAACAAACAGAAAATAACCTCTTTGCTTTGTAGGGTGGGTCTGAAAACAATCTCACTGCAGTGCTGGAAATAGCATTTAACACATTCAGGATGTGGTTTTTTTCCTTCTCCTTTTTTCTGCCAGCCCTTTATCATTTTTACAAGTCAATGACTTACTAATTTTTATAGAGGGAAGAGATAGGACATGAAACTAGAACCAATTGTTTTTCCTTCCTTCCTTTATTCCTTCCTTTTTTCCTTCCCTCCCTCCCTCCCTCCTTCCTTCCTTCCTTCCTTTATTCCTTCCTTTTTTCCTTCCTTCCCTCCCTCCCTCCTTCCTTCTTTCCTTCCTCTCTCTTTCCTTCCTTTCCTCTCTCCCTCTTTCTGTCTCTTTCTTTCCTCTTAACTTTTAGAAAAAAATACAATGAAATAGGAGGCTGCAATTGCTAATAAGTGAAATTTAATAACTTCCTGTAGCTTTCATTTTTTTTTTCTATTTGTTATCTTACATAAGGAAGAATTGGCCTGTATAGTCTACATTTGAATACTATGGTCTAAATCTGTTCAACTAGCTTACACTAGATGGAGATATTTTCATATGCAAATACATTATAATGTATGATCTATCCATACCTAATAGAGTTAGGGGTTTAAAGATATTCATTTTCAAGAGGATCTTTAGTTATTTCCTATCAGTGATGAATTTATCAAATACCTTACCTCAATGAAACCAAATGTCCTTAGGATTACCCTTCCTATAGTCTTAACAACTGCTCTTTACCCAAGAGTTAAAGTAAATAGTGTATCATCTTCCACTTACTTAACTTCAGGCTTATGCTTTTGAGTCAGTGGCCAACTTTACTGTCACCATCAAATGTTTATTATAATGTTGTAAATTTTTACTTCTCAAGGTTAGCGTGCTAGGAGTTACTTCACAATTAGAATTCAGGAAAGAAAGAACTTCAGTAGGAACTGATTGGAATTTAACGATGCAACATTCAATGGGTGCTGATTTTGAAGAATAATATTATAGCAGACACATAGCAGTTATCTTGATGGTTTTCTAGGAATAATTGTGTGAAGTATAGGGATGACAAGCCTGACTGCCTCTTCAGCAGAGGCAGGACTAATGAACACCCTACACTTCCTCCTTTCCTCTCTCATTTCAGAAGCATTTTGTAGGTAACAGCAAAACAAACTTACATTTGTATTACAAAGAAGGGAGACTGCCTAAGGGGGCTGACTGTAGAAGTTTTGTTCTCTCTGTCTAATGAACTGAAAAATGAAAATGCCTAAAGTTTTGTACAGCATAATAGTAGCAGTAAAAACCAAGTGAAAAGTCTTTCCAAAAACTGTGTTAAGAGGGTATCTGCTGTGAAAGTATTTGAAAAGAAGGTGCTAAAGTGCTTGGTATTTTCTATAGGAACCCCAGAGCGAAATACAGTTTGCAAAAGATGTCCAGATGGATTCTTCTCGAATGAGACGTCATCGAAAGCTCCCTGTAGGAAACACACAAACTGCAGTGTCTTTGGTCTCTTGCTGACTAAGAAAGGAAATGCGACCCATGACAATATATGTTCTGGAAACAGTGAATTCCCTAAAAAATGTGGAATAGGTAATTATATTCCAAACTATCTGCCTTCCTACCATTTTATCGTACCATCTTTCTCTGAGTGCTACACAACAGCCTTTGGCCCTGTTCTTAGTCATACTCATGTTTTTCCCTTTTTGAAATTTAACCAGCTTAACAGTTGTTGAAGCTACAACTCAATCTCTCAGACTGCCTGTGTCTTCTCACAATTAATACCCTGAGCCCTGATTTTCTCCTCTTCATTTCACACTCAAACCAAGTCTTAACCTGTGGTGATGTCAATTTTGTTCCTTGAATCCAGATTAGCAGAGTTCAGAATGTAGAATTTAAGTGATGAATTTTTTTAACTTTCAAGAATGCTTGTATTATTAGGTTAAGTATAAACTGACAACAAAGAAATAAAATGGCGTAAATTGACTGCAAATTAGAAATGTATACTTGGCTTTGTTACCAATGACATTAATGGATTGATTGCACAGGAGTTCCAAGTTTCTCTGGTTGTCTTAAACTCTGGTAAGGGTCCCCAGCACCCAGCTCAAATCACCTCAGCCCATCCCATGTTGGGTGATGACATTAATCAGTTTGGAATGTGCTGATACCCTGGCCCTCTATCACTAATCTCAGAATTTCACTGGAGAGCACTTCATGCCAAGGGTGTTCTGCCTTTGTGCAATTAATTAAACAATGGCACAAACCAGCTCTACTCTCCCAAAACATCTTTCTGTACTACACAGAAGTGTATGAAGCACAGGAATGTGGGTTGTTATGTTTACTGCTCCAACTCAGTTCCAACATGTTTTCACTGTCATTGAATTCTTAGACAAGTTATTTAGCCTTTCTGCTTTCTTATCTAAAAAAGAAAATGAGGGAAAATGCAATAAAAACATTGAGTTCTAACTTTAAACATTCTCTCATTTATTTAATTCATCTTACATTATATTTTTGTCATTAATTGAGAGTATATTATATACCAAGATATTTGCTTTAATATTTATAAAAACTACTGTGAAGTTTACTTAGAGTCTGTACAGGTGGTGAATGGCAGAGCCAGGATTCAAACCCAGATCTGATGAATCTAAAGACAAATTCCTAATCCGTAGGATATCATTACCTACCCAGGCACTTGGGCCATTACAACTCTTCACTGAATGATGTTTTTAGGTTTGATTATTTTTCCACCTCATGCACTCTATGTGTGTGTGTGTGTTGCTAGAGATAAACCTAGGTCATTGCACATGCCAGGCAAGAATTCTACTACTGAACTACACCCCAAATCCTTAATCTGTTTCCATAATTAAACTGTTTACATATGTGCATAAAATAATGTAATATACCAGATTACTCTTTTAATAGGCATGGATTTTTTTGACATTGACCTTTAGTACCCTGTGGCCACTAAATAAATTTTAATAGTGTTAACATTTATATTATAGAATTTTTAGCTATAATTCACATATAGCCATACAGCAGTCTTATTAAGCATTTATTAAACTTCCCCTTCAAAAAAAAAAAAGATTCAAAAACAAGCATAGAATGCATATAAGCCTGTGGTCTCTCCCACTGACAGCATCCAATAGAAGGTTGTTTTATTCAAAGTTTTCTATTTCAGCATATTGTATCATGGAAAACCTAGCTGTGCTCATTTTATGTTTTTGTTGCAAAGACTTTCAGAAGTCCAATTGTTAAGTAAGTCTTCTTGGTTTTCTCACCTTCCTTTAGATGTCACCCTGTGTGAGGAAGCATTCTTCAGGTTTGCTGTTCCTACAAAGTTTACACCTGATTGGCTCAGTGTCCTGGTAGACAATTTACCTGGAACCAAAGTAAATGCAGAGAGCATAGAGAGGATAAAACGGCGATATAGCTCACAGGAACAAACTTTCCAGCTGCTGAAGTTATGGAAGCACCAAAACAAAGACCAAGACATGGTCAAGAAGATTATTCAAGGTATACTCATCTGAAATGAGTCAATCAAGAATCAAAGGCACCCATTTGTCATAAAACAGGAGTAAGACTATGTGCCTGGGCAGTTGTGGGAATTCTTCCCTTTTGGAATCATTTTTGGTTGAACAATTTTTCTCAAAATGATAATGTAAAGGCTATTCTTATACTCAATTCTGTCCCAGTTTCTCTTAAAAGTGTTTTGAATACTCTGAAAGAAGAGAGATTCACTTAAAATACAAGCCTAGACTTTAGGAAATCTGCTTCCAGACCTCTTAAATCTTTTCTTACCCTCCCATCTGGTCTACGTAGGTCTTTAACCACTTTGGATTTTGCCTCACATTTCCACCAAGAGGCTAGGCTGTATGCATTTTGCAATTATCTCCAGAAAGGCACTAAATGTCTTACAACAATCCTGTCATTAATCCTTACCACATAGCCTGTATTAAAATTATCATTATAATAGCATGTATGGTGAGGATTAACAAGCACTTAAAAGCTTTTGAGGTTCTTGAGAGAAAAGAGCTCATTGAGTCCATATACTATCATGTCTTAGAATTTTCTAAAGCATCTCCTTTACAAATGGTGTGTTGGGGAGAGAGAGAGAGAGAGAGAGGGAAAGACAGAGAGTGAGGATAACTATACGTGATAGGAGGAAACCCAAACAGAAGAATCAGCTTCATTTGATATGAACTGTAAGTTTTAGGATGTACAGTGGAAAAGAGTTCAAACTTCAGTCACTATCAGGATGGGTGTCGATATGCCAGAAAAATGAAGTAGGGTTTTCCCAATGCATATAGCATCAATGAGAAACACATTCTCTTCTTCACTAGTATTTAAATGACTGGGTTTCCTCAAACATCTGAAACTGGAGCAATGGGTTTTAAGACACTAACATCGTTTGACAGTGGAATGCTTCACTTAGGCAGAGAGCAAACTTTTCTTGAGTTCTTGGCAAAACAAAAGTATTCTTTGAACCTATAATTAGCCCTGAAGCAAAAAAAAAAAAAAAAAAAAGAGAATAGAGAATCACAAACTGTTAGAATTGGAAGGGTCCAAAATTTCTGCATTATAAATGAGGACATTGCAGCTCAGAAAGATGAACTGTCTGCCTTCAGGCTCACAGATACTAAATGACTCATGTCGTTAATGAAAGCGTGAATTCCTCCCGCTTATGCTTATGCTGAGGCTCATTGGTGAAATATCCTCTAGGCTGTGTGTGTTCTCCAGTTTCTTTGACTCCTTATTTTTAGGTTTTCAGATATCTGCCTCACAGTGGTACTCCTCTAGTGTTATGTGTATTTATTAAAGGCTAGTTTGTGACTCTTTTCAAATAGTGTCCATGTCAGATATCCATGAATGAAATTCATATTACAAAGTAGCTAACTTGAACACTTTATTTCTGCTTAAATATTTGATTTTAAGATCTCAAAAGTTTTCTTAGAAAATCAACAGTGATGAGTATAATTTTCTACTGTTACATTTTAAAATTAGGGGTCTCTCACAAAACTTTGATTAGATGCTTAGAATATAGGGCATCTTATCCAACTATAACACAAAATAATATTTATCTTACTTCTCAGAAATAACTAGTGTCACTTAAACCAACTTAGAAAAAGAAAGGAAAACCTTATCTTTAAACTGACATGAAATTCTAGGAGAACCTTTTGCCTCAGGCTGGTTGTAGGATGACTATAAATGATGTGAGCATCTCTTTGGGCTTTTTCTTCACGCAGATATTGACCTATGTGAAAACAGTGTGCAGCGGCACATCGGCCACGCAAACCTCACCTTTGAGCAGCTTCGCGGCTTGATGGAAAGCTTACCAGGGAAGAAAATTGGTGTAGAAGACATTGAAAGAACAAGGAAGACATGCAAATCCAACCAGCAACTCCTGAAGCTTCTCAGCTTGTGGAGAATAAAAAATGGTGACCAAGACACCCTGAAAGGCCTGATGCACGCGCTCAAGCATTTGAAAACATACCACTTTCCCAAAACTGTCACTCACAGTTTGAGGAAAACCATCAGGTTCCTTCACAGCTTCACAATGTACAGATTATATCAGAAGCTATTTTTAGAAATGATAGGGAATCAGGTCCAAACAGTAAAAATAAGCTGCTTATAACTAGAAATGGTCATTGAGCTGTTTCCTCACAATGGTCCAGATCTGATGGATGAATAGACTGTTTCTCAGGCATTTGAGGGGGTACAAGGATTTCTTTCTCATCACCAATGGCAAAGAAACTATGATGTGGAGAAAGAACTAATATCACCCCCAAAGTTCAATAAATCCCAAATAGTTTATCCAACTGCCAGATCAGGTCCAGTGTCTACTGACTATATTTTCTTTATTACTGCTTGCAGTAATTCAAATGGAAATAACAATAAAAGTAAAATCTAGACTCCATTGTACCTTTCTAAATATGGGAATGTCTAACTTAAATAGCTTGGCGGTTTCAGCTGCGCTAGTGGTTTTTATTAGAAAGCCACATTTTTTTTCTGTAAAAGTTGCTAATATATCTGTAACACTATTACAGTATTGCTATTTATATTAATTCAGATATAAGATTTGTACATATTATCATCCTAGAAAGAAATGGTATAAGATTTAATTTTAGATGGAAAAATACATTCTGTTTATTATTATGACAAATTAAAGAGATGAAATATATTTTTAACGGAAAGTTTATAGGATTTTCTAATAGGTATTGCCATTTTTCCTGTGTGAAGTGTTTTTATAACATAATTTTATCTGTATAAGCTGTAATATCATTTTATAAAAATGCATTATTTAGTCAATTGTTTAATGTTGGAAAGTGTATGAAATATAAATTATCTGAATATTAGATGCTCTGAGAAATTGAATGTACCTTATTTAAAAGATTTTATGGTCTTACTATATAAAAAACATTATTAAAGTTTTCAAATTATTTTTCATTGCTTTTCCTATTGTTTTTTATTTGAATGGACAACAGGAACACCTAAGAGTGGTTAAAAAATGCAAATTCCTGTACCAATCTGATAAAAAAAAAACATGGGAATAAGAACAGAAACTTGCATTTTTACCATCTCCAAAGTAATTCTTATTACACAAAAATTAGAGAATTTCTAGTCAGGTTTGTATACAGTTGGAGCAAGTCAATTACAACTGCCACCACTAACAGAGTGACCAAACTAAATTCTTTTGACTGCAAATAATAGAAAACCACTTAGTTTAAAGAAAAGAAGAAATTAATTGGAAAAAATGTGTATTGATTGTGTTGAATCATGGCCTCCAAATAGACATTTTTGTATCACAAAACCTGTGAATGTTACTTTATTCAGAAAAAAGGGTCTTTGTAATTGTAGTTAAGGATTTTGAGATGAAATTATCTTGAATTATATAAATGGGTCTTAATTCCAGTGACAAGTATCTTTATACGAGACACACAAAGTAGGCAGATGGAGGACAAGATGATAAGAAGACAGAGGCAGATATAGAAAGGATGCAGCCATAGGAAACCAAGAGAAGCAAGGGACAGGCAGTTTTCAGGTTCACGCCAGAGTTTCTGTAGTGAGTATCGCCATGCTAATATCTTGATTTTGGATATCTACCCTCCCTCTAAAACTATGAGGGAACAAGCTTTTGTTGTATTTAATCTTCCAGTTTGGGTCATTTGCTACAGTAGCCACAGAAACTAATCCAGGTGCTTCTAACTTCAGAAAGGATAGAAGCAAGACAACCCTAAGTCCTTTTGGGTTCCTACCCTTTCTCCTAAACTTAGATTTCTGTGTCTTTAAGTTACAGTTTTAAATTCCTAGGAAAAAGACTCTGATTTTCTTAGGTTGGGATTGATATAAAGAATGACAAGTGAGAGGCTATCCTTGTTAACAGGTGTCAATTCCCAAGAAGGGACTTACTTTGTGAAAAGATTCTATTACATCCTGTTCTTCCTTGTGTGTAATGTTCTTCCCTCATTTTACCATGACTTACAAAGTAAGTAATGCTACAAAGTAACATGGACACAAGCAAACCAACACCATTTTTGTGAAATCAACATTAGAGCCACTTTCAAAAATGGCAAACAAATCCAGGTAAATATCATCTAGACTCAATAAGTCTGGCAAATTAAAAAGCAAGGGCAAAGTCAAGAGGCTCACACTTGGCAAATGGTATCCAATGTTGTCATACTTGATGTGGCACTGAAGGTTTAGGCAGGAGGACAGGGGTTGACTAATATATGCATGTTCCCTTTGAAAGCTCTGGTTCATCCACCAAAGTTCTTCTTGTCAAAAATGAAATGGCTACACCTGTCAGCTAAGCTTAAGAAAAGTTGGAAAGTTAGTGGTCTCGGGACTAAACTATTCAGGTTCTTGTATGATTGACCATCCCTGCTGCTCTTTTGGGTTGGTTTATCTCAAGCGTCTCTTCCCATGGATATAAAATATGTAAAAGTCACGGCAGTCATTTTTTTCTCTCTCTTTTTAATGTCTAGTTTTGAAATATTTTCCTCTTCCCCATTCCTAGGGTCAGATATTTTTCCTTTTATTAAAATTGTATTTCAAAACCAAGATCTGGGTACTAGTTTGTACATTGCTAGTAAGATATCACTGCTTCTAGGCCTTCTCAATGGACAGAGCCAGTAAACATATGCATGAATACTAATCCGCGTAGGCATACATGAACACTGATGTATATAAATATATGTGTATATATACACACTGTATATGTAAATACATGTTCTTTAACATACATACCCCACTGAGTTCATTCTAGTCTTCATCCTCTTTCCCCCTGATTATTTGTAACTTTTCTCTGAAGATAAGAAACATAGTTTACATTATCTATAATTTATATAGTTGACTAATCATAGACACATGTAAAGTATTTCAGACTTGCAAATGCGTACCTTTGTGAGAAAAAAACTTTAGCCAACTGGAATACAGTGTTATTTTGTATGCCCTTTTTTATTGGCTTTATCATGTCCATTCAAAATGCTGGTTTCCAAAGTCATTTTTTCTCACCCCCTTCAGGAAGTTACATCATATTATTGAAATAAAGTTACCCTTTCCTATTACAGTCTAAATTCTATCCTGGTATCACTCTATACCCTGGATGAATTTTTTAAATTTGGGTATAATTTCACTCTGAGTTGCAAACCGAAGGATTGACAAGAGCATAAACTCACATTTCCACCAATCTATTACCACACACAACTGTTCCATCCCTCTAAGAGTGTGTGCATATGGTTCTTTTTTATTAGCATATATTAATTATACAGGAGAATTCCATTGTCATATTTACATATGTGCTTACAATGTATCTTAATAGATTCACCCTCCCCTCCATCATTCACCTCTTCCCCCTTCTTAGAACAATTTCAACAGATTTCACTGTTCAGTTTTCATACACATATACAAAGTATATTTGCCCTCCTTCACCATTTCCCTTACCCTCCCCCCATCCCCTGCTACCTCCTCAGGACAGGGCATGTTTTGTCTTCCTGTCCTTCATTTTTTAAGTGTCTATAGATTGATTGTTCAAGAGTCTTTGCCTTGGTATTTCACACATGAATATATTGTACTTTATTCAGGTTAGGCACCTCTATTATTTACTCTTTCTCTATCACCCTGCTCCCCTATTATTCAATAGCTTGTAATGCATTTCATTATTGTCATTCCTTTCCTGTCTACCAGCTTCTGTCAAACAATGAACTGATTTCCATCCCTGTCATTTTGCCTTCTTCAAAATATCATATGAACCAAATCACATAATCTTTCATCTTTTTGTGATTTTTTTCATTCAGCAAAACACATTTAAGATTCTGTCCATATTGTTGAATAAACCAATAGCTTTCACCTTTATATTTTCCAGGAATGTTTCGTCAAAAGGAAACACCACAGTTCTATCTTCTCACCTGTTGGAGTATACTATAATTGTTTTCTATTTTGAGTGATTATGAATAAAACTGCTATAAATATTTTTATAGAGATTTTTGCTTATACAGAATTTTTCAGTCTGCTTAGGTAAATGCCAATGTGTGGAATTTTTGGTTATTCTGTTAGTATATGTTCAGCTTTTTAAGAAACTGCCAAATTCTTTTCGAATTTGACTGTACCATTTTGCACACCCTATAACAATGAACCGAAGTACTTATCATTTTACATGTTCACTGTTACCTCAGATTGCCAGTTTTATTTTATTATTTTATTTTAGAGATACCTGCATTGTGCAGTGACATCTCACTGTGCTTTTAATTTGCATTTGACTAATGACTAATTGCGTTAGTCTGTTAGGGCTGCAGCAATAAAATTCCAGACTGGAGTGGTTAGAAATCCAAGATCGAAGTGCTGTCAGTATTGGTATCTGATGAGGCCTCCCTTGCTGGCTCACAGATGGCTGTCTTCTCATTGTCCTCCAAGGGGTCTTTTCTCTGTGTGAATGCAGAGAGAGAGAAAAAAGTCCTATAGGATTAGCCCACCCTCCCTCCTGTCCCCCGCCCTTTTGACTTCTCTTAGCCTAATAGCTCCTTGAAGGCCTCATCTTCAAATACATCGGAAGTTAACATAGGGATTGGGGAGAGCATAACTGAGTACCTAGTTTTAATGATGTAAGGATCTTTTCATATGATTTTTTAACATCTGTTTATCCTTTGTAGTGCAGATTCTTTCCAGATCTTTTGCCCATTTTTTAAATTATATTGTTTGTTTTCTAATTGTTGAGTTTAAGAACACGTCACATGTTCTAGGTACATGCTATTACAAAAATAGTTGTTCAATCTGTGCTTACCTTTTTATATTCTTACTTTTTATTTCACAAAGCAAAAGTTTTAGATGTGAATACAGTTTTTACATAACTACATATTTTTAATGAATTGTGCTTCTGGCATAATGTCTACATACTCATCACCAAATCCAAATTCACACAGATTTTCTTCAGTTTTTCTTTCACAGTTTCATATTTCAAATTTAGGTTTACCATCTACTTTAATTTTTGTACAATGCGCATTGAAGGCTTTTTTTCTTTTCTCATATGGACATTCATTTGTTCCAGTATGATTTGTGAAAAAACTAGCATTTCTCCATTGAATTACATTTGTGTCTTTATCAAAAGTCAGTTGTGTGCTTATGTTTATGGGCTTTCTAGTCTATTCCATTAGTTGAGTCTAGACTTTCACCAGTGCCATGCTGTGTAAATTAGTGCCACATCATAGTAAGTCTTGAAATTATTCCTGATGACTATTCTGTTGCTTGGTAATTGTTTTCTTGTATTTTAGTAGGTTTCATAGTATGTTTTGGTTAAAAGCCATCCAGGTTATGAAGTTCAGTAAAAATGAATGTAGATGGTTCTTAAACCTGACAATGGGCATTCCTTTCTTTACTTCTGCTAGAACTTTAATGAAGGGCTTTTATTAATCCAATTAGGAAGTAGAGTATTCTGTTATTTTATGACTTGCTGTTGCTAGGGTTATGCTCAGTACATCACATTGTTTTGGGGTAGTGGGGTGTTTCAGAGTAATGTCTGTTTGAATTTTAAGTCTTTCCTTTGAGTTCTGCCTCAAAGAGGTTTTCTTCACATTCTTATTCCTTGCCTATCCCTTTCTCTGTATTATTTTGCTGCTAGTTGTTATTTGAAGCTTCTTAGTCTCACATTGTGGGGCAGAACATCCAGATAATCTCTGATGTTCTGATTAAGGTCCTGTCTTAGGTATGCGTGTGACCTTTTCAAGTTTTACAATGGACTCAGCACCAAATCTTGCATCTCTTTTTCTCTTCCTCCGATTCCCTTCCCTTGGTGGCAATGAGTGGTCACTAATATCCTAAAGCCAACAGGTTTGCCCTTTCTCTAATGGATTACCAACTTCTCTTTCTCTGAGTGGGCTTGTTGTCCTCCCCACAGTTACTGCTTCTCCTCTCTCCAGTGTTTTACAGTTCTCTGAGTACTAGTCTTTGAGT